GAGAGAGAGAGAGAGAGACCCCAGCCCCCACCCCTTCTCAGAGATGTGTGTCTAGGCTGTGTCAGGGGTGTCTGTCTGTGTGTGTGTGTGTGTGTGTGTGTGTGTGTGTGTGTGTGAAAGGAAGAGAGAGAGAGAGAGAGAGAGAGAGAGAGAGAGAGAGAGAGAACGAGAAGAGGGGGAGAATGGTCCATTCACAGAGCACAAGAGAAGCCCTGTCTCTGGGTATTGCCTTTCTCTTTGCCCACCAGGAGCAGAAATAGCAGCTTGGAATGGATTGCTGTGGGCAACCCTCTCCTCCTCCATCCCTATCACCTGGGAAACATTGGCTAATATCTCCTGTGTCAATAGGCAGCACCTCACTCAATGGCTTCCCACTGCTTCTCTGAGAAGCACAGAGCCTTAGAGATGATGGGTGCCCTCAACTTGCATTTGCCAAGCACTCCTGTGAGCAAGGTTTATGGAAGTCCCTGCAATACAATGCCGAGCAAGCCAGGGCCCTTCTCATCTGACTGAAGAGTTGGAGGTGCTAACGTGATTGTGCTCTGGCATCTCCTTTAACTGATTTCTGTATAGGGGGCAGAGTTCCCCCCAAGTCTGTGGGAGGAGGAAGTGTCCTCCAAAAGGAAGGCATGAGCTACTTCGAAAAGGATGTTTCTAGTACATGATTGGTCACCAGAGTAAGGACTTGGGCAGTAGAAATGCTACACTTGGGGCACCCGCTGGAAATAGGCTGGGCAGAGGGATGGGAAGGCAAATGATGCTTAAGCATCAGCAGAGGCATTAGAGCAAAACATCTACCCTAAGTCATGAGCCCTGCCTCTTGGGTGGGGTGCCCTTCTTGCACTTGGCTGCATGGTCTCCCAGTGCCAGCATGGGCTTGGGAGGTCTGCAGCAGAGGGGAGGTGGAGGTTAGCAGCACAGATGTAAGGAAGGGGCATTGGATTCAGCAGGTGGCATCTGGTCATAAAGCCTGTATATCCTAAAATCTACGGTTTATTTATCTAGTTATTTATTAAAACATTGTCACTCACCTAGTTCCCTCAAACTTCATTCCCAAGGTATCCGGGTAAGAAAAAGTGCCATCTGGGGCCAGGGCCAGGAATTTCCCTCAGGGAAAAGCAAACTGTCTATGTAAAGAGAAAGAGGCCAGCTTCAGAATATCCAGATGAAGAAACTGAGGCACAGAGAAGTAACTCAGGTCACACAGGGTGGGAACAATTGTTTGCAGGTTGTTCATCAAATCCTGAAATCTTGTTAGGAGCTACCAACCCTCTCATCTGCCTGCCCCCTGTCACAGGAAGGTGTGACACCCTGAAGTCACAGAGGTCAACTACCTCTGCCCCTTAAAGTAATGGAGAATGTGGTTGCGGCCCTCCACAGAAGGGGCCCATCACGCCTGTGTCATGTTCCAAGGCTTCTAATAAGTATTTTTGCCGCCTGGGTTACTAAGTGTTTCTGTTATTGCCAGCCAAAGAGCCCAGAATGACGTGTGCAGCAAACTCAGGGAACAGACAGGCTCTGCACCCAGGACTCCCAATGCCTAGTTCATGCTATTTCTATCCCAACAGGCTGCCTGCCCTCCTGGCCCATCTGTCCACTGTCCAGCCATCTGTGCCCTCGTCTGAGCAGACCACAAACTTGGAAGTGCACTGGATCCCGAAGAAGGGGCCTGAGTGTTCTCTGGCTGAGTTGTACTCAGACGAACGACTTCCCTTTCATCCCATTCTGTGGCTGGCATTATGGAGCGTGGGACTGCCTGAGAGCCAAGGAAGGGAGGACGGAAGGGGCTGGGCATGCTCAGCTAAGGGGCTTGGCAACTTGGCTTTCTATCTTTTGGGTGAGTCTAGCATAGGGACTGGCCCATCCATTTCTTTAAAGGATATTTACTTCAAACAGCTACTGTGTGTAAACCATGCAAGCACAAATGCAAGCCTCTCTTGCAGGATGCAGGTAGGAAAGAAGCCAGGCCCAAGTCAGTGTCTGATAGGAAATGTTCAGGGTTCCCTGGTGTACCATCAAGGCGCCAAACAAGGTAGATGAGTCATAAGA